TTTTACTCTCAAGATTTTCCTTCTGAGCTGTGCAGCAAGTTTTGGTGCTATGTTCAGAGTATTCTTTAGTAGTCTTTATTGTTAAAACTTTGTAATTGAATATAAATAATTAAAAGAAATTTAAAATCAACACTGAATCTGATTTTGCTTTTTAAAATAAACTTTAGCTTTCTCAACAGCTGAGTAGTTAGTATCTTAGCCATCTAACATATTAGGGAAATACTGAAAAATGAGACTGATGAGAGAAGGACCTTTTCTATTAGGTAAAAGGATAGTGTAAAGAGAAAAAATAAATGACTTCATCACAGCCCTTTTGTTTTCAGATTCACCATAATGTCTCTTTGTGATAACAGATCCACCGAAATTAATACTCTCACAGGAATTCTTAATCATCATCATAGATGAATTATATTTCATTATAATTGTTTTCTTTTATAATGTTACATATTTTATTTTATTTGAAACATCATTTTGAAAAGGCTTGATCAGTAGTCTGTGGCACAAAAAATGCTTTGTCTTTGATACTCTTTATTACTACTGCTTCATTATACAAATTAAACCTGTAGGCAAAGAAGTAAATTAGCATTGAGCTAAGATTTTATTATATTTCATGAACTTTTAGAACTGAAGGTGATTTTTACCTGGAGCTTATTGGAAATGCAAAATCTTAGCCACTACCTCAGATATCCTGAATCAACATCTGTGAAATCTACCTTTTGACAATCTCCTTAGGTGATTCCTGTGCATGTTAAAATTTGATAGCTGCTCTAGTGCTGTACCTTAAATAAATTAGTTGAAGGAGCTAATTTACTTTGAATATGTTAAATGACATGCCCAAAGTGACACAGCTAGCTAGTGGAGAAGCATGGATGGATTGGTTGCTCTTATAATTCTGTGCTTTAATTTCAAGTTATCTTCTTTTGGCCTCCAAGATGTTTCTAAACTATAGTTACTTAAGGATTATTTTATCTTCTTTCCATTCCACTAATCTTTATCCTAGCTTTCAGTTTATCCCCACTAGAATCAAAGGTAAAAAGAATTACCAGCTTATTGAGAGGAGCTATGCTGGTACTAATTTAGCCATTAGGAAGGGAGGAAACTTGCAACAGTTTTGGGCCAGGCTGTAGGCAGTATTCCCTGCTTTCTCAGTCTGTCTTCATTGCCTTAGGTTTGCTTTATAAAAATCATTGCCAAGAATCTAGGGACCAGTTGTTTAATCATCCATATCAGTGCTATTTCAAGGATACACTAAGTAAATCAAGATATAACAAATTTAAGCATATTTATTCATTATTATTGAATGTACATTTTACCTGGTGGATTTTTTTTTCATTGACAAAATTTAGTAGTATAATGTTACTATCCATCATTGACTCTGAAACCACTACAATGGTAAGATGAGAGAAAACGAGCATTTGGCAGTATTAATCAATCTTTTGATCACCCAACTAACCATTTTATTCTGACTCCTGCCTTTCAACCCTCCCTTTCCCAGTCAGTGGTTCTCAAACACAAATGTTTGTACATACATGTTATTGGCACCCAGCCCTCTCCCTTGTACTGCTCCCACTACCCCAGTGAAGGCTTCAATCACCTCTTGCTTACTGAATTAGCCTTTTAGCGGGTCATCTTACTTTACTTTTTAAAAATATCGAGTGCCTGCAAACTACTGAAGATACTATTTGTGGCCTCTTCCGCCTGAACCGAGTCCACATCTCAGCTTCCTCCTGTCGTGTTGTATATGCCAGATTCCCTTTGTCAGGGACTATCTTTTCACCTTTTCTACTTTGAAATGTACTTGGAATTTTTTTTGTTTTCAGCTCCACGGCTGTAGTTCAGAGCTTTCCCTTCTGGATATTTGTAGCTGTCTCAAAAGTGGTCTTTCTGTTTCCAGTGTCTTTGTCATTTTCTCATTCACAGTCTTCAGTGTTAATTTCCTCAAGCAGAAGTGTCTCCTCATCAGAGACCTTCACAGACCCCACCTTACCTGAGGCAAGTTACAGCTTGATTTAGCTGAAATTAGTTGCATTATAATTGCAGAATACACATTTCCTTTCTGTTTTCAGTTACTGGTGTGATTAATTTGGTTAATTTCCAATTCAGAATTTAAAGTGTTTGAGATAATTCACTTAGATATTGACAGATAAATTCAAATATTGATTGGATATAAGGCTTTAAATACTGCCTTCATACTTTTAAAGATGGGTTGAGCAAGTATGGCTAACAAATCAGCATTACAGACAGGAGTTACAGGAATTGGAGTCTGCATTTAGTTACTCACTATTGTGTTACTTTAAACATTTTATTCATCTCTGTTCAAAAAAGCAAAATAAAGACTCCTAACTTCCTGAGCACAGGTGAACTGTGAAGACTGAAACAGTACTATTTCTAAATTAATAAAAGATTGAAGAAAAGTACTTCTTAAAAGTAGGAAGGTGGCCCTTGGCTGGTATGCTCAATTGGTTGGAGTGTCATCTCGTTAACTGCTGGAAGGTTGCAGGTTCAATTCCCGGTCAGGGCACATCCCTAGGTTGCAGGCTTGGACCCGTATGAGAGGCAACCAATTGATATTTCTCTCTTAAATCAATATTTCTCCTCATCCCCCCTGCCCCCAACCTTTCCCCTCTCTAAAATCAGGTCAGGATAAAAAAAGTAAGTAAAAATAAAAGTAGGAAAGTGATAAAATTATGTAGCTTTGGAAGTAATTCTGTATTTACCACTCTGTTATTTCAGAGTGAAACATTCATTTTTAAACAAAGTGTGGATTAGATTAGATAGGATTAAAGTGGAATATGATTACATGTGGATTAGATGGGATTGAAGTATATCACAGCTCTTTTAATGAATTTGATTAAATGGTCCAGTTACCTTAATGTTAAATAAATTCTGGGATCTTAGTGTATTTTAACCCTTAGAATTCCTATATGCATTTTTAAGTGACAGCTTTATTGAGATATAATTCATATACCATAAAGTACAGTTCACTGGATTTTCAGTATATTTACAGAGTTGTGCATCCACCACTGTTATCAAATTCCAAAACATTTTATCACTTCCGAAAAAACACAGAACACCCATATTCATTAGTTGTCACTCTGTTCTTCATTCCTCTCTCCTCTTAGCTCCTGGAAACTACCTAATCCTCCTGTCAGTTTTGAACATTTCATAGAAATAGAATCATGCAATGTGACCTTTTCTGTCTGGCATATTTCACTTAGCATAATGTTTTTCAAGGTTCATCCCTCTTGTAGCATGTGTCAGCACCTCATTTTTAGGGCTGAATAATACTCCATTGCATGGATATACCACATTTTGTTTATTCATTCATTAGTTGATAGACATTTAGGTTTTTTCTAATTTTTTGGCTACTATGAACTATGCTGCATTTCTCTTGTGTATATACCTAGGAGAGTAGCATTGCTTGGTGTTAACTACATGTTTAACTTTCTGAGGAACTGCCAGACTGTTTCCCCAAGGAGCAGCACTGCTTAACAGCTCTGTCAGTGGTGTATAAGGGTTCCAGTTTTCAACAGCCTCACCAGCACTTGTTGCTGTTGTCCTTTTTGTTATAGCCATTCTAGTGGGTGTGAAGTAGTAGCTCATTGTGATTTTGCTATACACTGCCCTTATGATTACTGGTGTTGAGCACTTTCCTCAAGTGCTTAGTGACCATTTTTATATCTTTGAAGAAATGTCTACTCAAATCCCTTAAACAGGATTATTTGTCTTTTTTATTGTTGAATTATAAGTGTTCTTTATATATTCTGGATATAAATTCCTTATTGGATATATAATTTGCAAATGTTCTCCCAGTATATGGATTATCTTTTCATGTCACAGGAGTTTTTATTTCTTAATCAAATTACTTGACATTAATTTTGGGTTATTAATATTTTTGCATTGTTTAGCATTTATATTCTGTTAAGTTTTGATTCTTGCTTTAGAAAAGCTAACATGCAAACCAAAGCAGTTTATGAAGCATACAAAAATTATGGACACAGTAAAGTTAATATAAATAGCACATTCCTTAAAGATGAAAAGATTAAACTGGTTATAGAGCCTTTGCTATCAAGATCTTAGGCAACTGCTTCCTCATCTCAAACCTAAAGGTTAGGTTTATTTTTCTGGTCAGTATAGTCCCAAATTAAGCTATATTCTTTGTTATAACAGTAAACACCTCTTAATTTATTTTTTTTTAAATTGAGATATAATTGACATACAACATTGTATAAGTTTAAGGTGTACAAGATGTTGATTTGATAGTTTTATATTCCATTATGATTACCATCGTAGCATTAGTGAACACCTCTATCACATCACATAATTATCATTTCTTTTTGTGGTGGGGAACAATTAAGATCTCGTCTCTTAACAGTCTCTTAAAATAACAATTAGATTATTTATTCTAATCTTAATTTAAAACTTAGAGTTTTTTAAGTGAAATTTTGAAGGCGCATAACTTTTTAAGTGAAATTTTAAAGACACTATTCAATATTAGTCACATGATTTTGAAATGAGAGTAGAACAAAGGCCTTTTAATTCTTTTATGCACAAAAGCCATGCCATAGGAATGGAATTTTTTGAACCCAACCACTTTGACCGTCTGTTATGCATTATGAAAAGAATTTGGGGTAATAATAATAATCAAACTGGAGAGATGACTACCCCAGTAAGGGCTCTGAGCAACCTTTATAAGAAGAAAATAATCCAGCACCTCAGAAGTACCCTTTTTTCAGGTTTTAAGGTAGGAGGGGCTGCATAAATGATTCTTCCCTTACTCTCCTGTAATAGTGATGAATGGCTTATATATGTAATCTTGTAAAAGTTCAGTGACTGAAGCTAGTGATTGCAGCTCAGGTATTCCCGTTTCCTTATTGGATGATACGTATACCTTAAAAATTGTAAGTGTTAGGTCAGTTGTAGCCAGGAGTTACATAGTATTTTATATTGGACACAATAAAAATTATAAGCCTGTTTCTGATTTCCTTTTCTCATTATAGGCCTCAGGAGTGCAGGTTGCTGATGAAGTGTGTCGCATTTTTTATGACATGAAAGTTAGGAAGTGTTCTACACCAGAAGAAATCAAGAAAAGAAAGAAGGCTGTCATTTTTTGTCTCAGTGCAGACAAAAAGTGCATCATTGTAGAAGAAGGCAAAGAGATCTTGGTTGGAGATGTTGGTGTAACTATAACTGATCCTTTCAAGCATTTTGTCTCAATGCTTCCTGAGAAAGATTGTCGCTATGCTTTGTATGATGCAAGCTTTGAAACCAAGGAATCCAGAAAAGAGGAGTTGATGTTTTTTTTGTGGTAAGCAGTGATAAAAAATAGTGAACCTCTGTAAAATTCAGAGTTGGTATCATTGTTAACTTCACATTAGGGGAACCAATACCTGGGGCCAAAGTAATTTTCAGTTAAGCTGTCTGCAGTCATTGTCATTTAATTTTTATTTACAAGGTTTCATAAGATAAGGTCTTAGTTGGATTCATGTGTGTGAGACCAAGACAAATTTAGTTAAAATTTATAACTTTTCTTTGTTTACTTGAAAGATGACTTTGAATAGTTGATTATTTTGGTGATAGAAGGATCAGGGAGCGAGATTTCTATGTATCTTCTCTACTCCTTATATGAAGATGGACTGAAAAAAAACGGAATCATATTCTGGAGGGTGGGCCCCCTGTGGGACAGGCTTCCCCCACTAGGTGAGTGTTCTAACAACCCATCTGTATCAGTGTACCAGCTGGTGGTGGTGTGAGAGGCTGTGTTCGGCTTCAGTGAATTTTTTTGAAGACTTTCAGTGTATTTGCCCATTTCATAGTGGATGATGCGCAAGCACACTGGCCCATGCCATGCTGAGTGTTCAGTTTTTTACCAAAAACAGCATGACCCCAATACCCCACCCTGCCTATTCCTCCAGTCTCACCCTGAGCAACATTTCCCCGATGAAAAAAGTCCTCAAAGGGAAACATTTTGCTAATGTGGAAAAGGACAACCAAAAAATGCAGAAGCACTAAAAGGCATCAAAATCAGTAAGTTCAAAAACTGTTTTGAACAGTGGAAGGAAGTCTTAATAGGTGTATTGCATCAAATGGAAAGTACTTTAAAGGTGACTGGAATTTAAACATGTAAGAATAAATATGCAATTTTTATAAATAAATTCTGGTTTTTTAGGGTCCTCCCGTAAGCTAAAATTTCTCTAAAAATTCTTCCTAGAATACTGAGAAGAAAATTTATCTCACCAAAATCCTTCTCTAACTTGAAGTGCGAGGAACCAGTCTCCCACTTTTTTGAACACTCATACTTTACTTGTGCCTCTGTGGTTTGCTACTGTGGTTTAACTCAAGCAAATTAAGTTCACACTGTCCATAAGGGTAGCCAATAGTCACTGTGGTTATTTAGATGTAAAAGAATTAAAATTAAATACAATTTCAAATTTATTTTCTCAGTTGAATTGCCACATTCAAATACTTGGTAGCCACATGTGACTAGTGGCCATCTAATTGGGTAGCACAGATACAGAATGTTTCCATCATTACAGAAAGCTTTACTGGACAGTGTTGTTCTAAATAGTGAAAGTGTGTTATAAAGGGATTTACACGACCTTTTTCTTGAAAGGCTATTTAAATGAGTATCCTGGTCTTTTCAAGTAAGTTAATATTTGAGGTTAAGTGTGATTTAAAAATCACATTTTTATCTCTCATTTATTTTATACTACATTTTTTTGATATGGAATTCATACATAGTCAGACTATTTCTAGCTCCCAAGGGGAAGGGGGAATGGTAACAGCCTCTGATCTGGGGAGAGTGAGGGTCCTCTTAATACTTTGGCCTAAGCCAGGGCAAGGCAAGGGGGTGTTTAGCTCTTAGCTCTGTGCCACCAATAGCTTGGGATATGGGGCTAGGAAGTTAAAAGAACCGTGGTCTAAAGGAATGTGACTATAGATCGCACCTCAGTTTATTTCAGCAAGCCAATTGCTCTTGACTAAACCAGAACGCTGTGAAGAATATAAATATGAGGTCTGGGTGCATGTATTAGGGCAGCCTTACAGTTCTGCAGGCCTGGCAGCTACACACATACATACGTACATACATACATACATACAGGTAGTAGTTAATGGGACAAAAGGAGCACATTCCTGATTTGAGTGATGGTGCATTTATTAAACTTAATTTCAGTTACATGCCAGGCATTGTATTATGATCTGGGAAAACAGCTGTGAATAAAACAGATAAAGTCCGTGCCCTTCTGGGATTTACAGCTGAGTGGCAGATATGGCAGCTAAATAAAGATTTTGGCTTTTTAAAAAAATTTATTTATAATAAACATTTGGTAAGGTTTGGCTTTTAAATTGGTGAATTCAGGGTGGGGGGAGATTTAAGTTTACAGTTGTGAGTACGCAAAACAGTAATTTATTAATTATTATTTTCATATGAAAAACTGTAAAGCTACTTTTGTCCCACCCTGTATTTTCTTCATTTGTACTAAGTTCCCCTGGTTTTTATACCTTTTCATTATGAAAATGATCTTTCCCAAATGAAAACATTTGGGAAATAAAAATAGAAGAAAAGGAAATTCCATATTTGTGCAGTGCTTTATTTTGCACTATTGCTTTTTTAAAGAAAAGGTAAAACCTTTAGGAGTGTTCCATTACAGGCTCTGTTTAAAGGGCCCAGAGAACACTTCTTAAAATGTTTTAAAAATCTGGTCACAGTAAAATCAGAGCAGTGAATAGGTTCCTGACCTATTTTCCATAAGAAAAGTACTTTGCATCTGCCAGACCTGAGTCTTTGCCTCCTTCCTTGGACCTTAAGAGTTGGGAAGAAGAGGCATCTGAGAGACATAGAGACCTCCCTCTTCTTGGTCCCCAAGAATAGAATCTGCCCACTGTAGGAGTAGACTAGGTGAGGTCCGTGCCAGCCCATGGTGTTAATAAGTGTGGAACAACCTGGAAATATGGCAGTGAAATGGAGTTGTTAAGTGCTTAAAAGTATTTAACTACACTCAATTTACCCTTTGGTATCTTGGTAGTATGGAGTGGGACGTGAACCTGAGGTTGGGTGGTGTAGGAGGAAATGATGCATTTATGCATAGCAGTTTCAATAGGATGGGATATGTCTGTCAATTGTTAATAATTGTTACTTTTCAATATTACTGGTGAAGAAAGTGGTGAAGTGAATGCTTTGCTTCTAGTGTTCATTCAAAATGAAGCTAGAACAAAAATACTTGTAAATGGAAGATAATAGTGATATTGACAATTAAAACATAGCTATTGCTGAATTGTCATTAAGCTTTAAAGAAACCGTTCTGACATGTTCTATTATGTTAAACTAAGATGGAAACCAAAGTACTTCTGTCAGAATTTGCTCTTGGTATAGACATAAATGAAGGGACTAGGGAAAGGTAAGAAGGGAACTTTTTTTGTAATACATTCTTTTTAAGAAAACAGTCTAAAGCAAAAATGCTAAAATTGCTGGCATTTCTTAATTAGGGGTGGTAGATGCTTGATTTACAGATTACAAAATCTGTAGGTACTTCTCTGTATTAACATTTTTTCCAATCCAAAGGGGTAGGTACTTCTCTGTATTAAAACTTTTTCTAATTAAGAACCTTATATAAAGATGATTGTTAACCTAAATTCAGGCCTTTATTGATAAAAAAAAATTTTTTTAATTTATTTTAAAGAAAACAAATTGGGAAATGTAGTGAATTATCCAGTCAGTGTTAGTTCTTTTATTCTGGTCCCATTAATCTGATTTTTATTCAGTGGTTCTCTACTTTTTCCTCTCTTGGTCAGCCTGAGCCATTCTGTATATGCCGACCCATAGCCATTCTCTCTAAAGAGGTAGGGACATTGAAAAATTGTGTAGCTGGAAGAACTCTCCCAGGCTATTCTGAGGATTCTCCCCCATCACTGATGCAAATATTTAATGTGATGTAAATTTTACTTTCTCTAAATCATTTTTTCCATTTTTGGTATCTCTTTATCCAGGGCACCAGAGCTAGCACCTCTGAAAAGTAAAATGATCTATGCAAGCTCCAAGGATGCAATCAAAAAGAAATTTCAAGGTATAGTCTAGATTTACTTCCAAATATTTAAAGATGTGGTGTGCCCCTGGAATGGGGGCTATATCTTTTCTAGGAAGCATGTTATTTTCTTTGGAGAGCCTTGGCCACAAAGAAGGGAAGCACTGCCTGTTTTGAGGGAAAAACCAGAAGATGGAACCTGGTTTTTAATGTGTCCTCTCCTGGTCACTTTGGGTCTGCATAGCCCATGTTTAGCAACTCTGTTCTCTCCACATTGTTGCACATCACTTGTTCAGGCTGGTTTTAAACTAGTTTGAGATGCTGTCCAGTTTCTCCTGTAGCAGATGGAGACTAATTGGTTTACATTGGTCATACTAAATGATAAATTCGCTCTTGCCTTTGAATGTAGTTGACATAACAAAGTTGAAAAAAAAAATGCTTAAAAATGGGAGAGGATGGTTTTATCTCCAGCTTTACTTTGGAATGGTATGATTTTTAGGTAATTGACTCGTCTGTATCCAAAGGAAAGTTCACTTCTTGAGCTGCCCAGTGATGTTTGACTTCCCACTGGGTGACTGAGATCCTGATGAGAGGGCCTGACCATACTGACTGTTTCCAGCCAGGAGGAAATGTCGCTATGATGGGAAGCAGCATGGGGCAAGTGCCAGAGGCCTGCACTGAGGGCTCAGCTTGTCATCTAACTGCTGTGTGACCTTGACCAATACTGCTTACCTCCTTGGGCCTTGATTCTCTCAGCTGTAGAATGAGAGATCATGTAGGTGTTTGAGCTCAGTCTCCAAACAGCTGGGTGAGCCAGGCCACAAGGGCTTGGCCCAGTGTGGTTTTTGTTTTATTTGTTTTACTGTGACTGATTTATACATTCCTGTAGTTGAACAGGTTTACCCTGGTTTGTTTTACTTTACTTAGGGAAACAAAATCCTTGCTTTCTTTCCTGGAACCTGCTGCTGTGTGGGTGAGGCCTTGTCAGTTTCTCTATGTCTTTGGGTTGATGTTGGGCCATTCCCCAGAAGTGTGTTCACTAGTTGCTTAACTGATGTTTTTACATGACACCATAGCTTCAACACTTCCACAAATGCAATTGAAAAGGATACAGAGTGGATTCCTTATCCACTTATCCTTATTCTGTATTGCTTTCCAGTAAAGGGAATTGCAGCATACACTTGATCTGATCATATTAAAGATGGCCACCATGTCACCTTTTCCTAGTGAAACCATCACTGGCTTTCTGTAGTCAGTCCTAAGTGGTCTAAAAGCCAGCTGACCTGATAATGCTTTCAGCAGCTTAAGAAATGGTCTTAAAGTTATAGAAAATCAGAAACAGGGTAGCTATTTAAAAGATAATTATTAACAGAGACGCTACTGTATATAAGCACATAATTGAGCTCATTCTACAGTGTGATGATCAATTTTTCTTAGAATGCAATTAGTAATACATTTTACATAGTTTTCCTTAATAGAGTTCTTAAATGTGTAATACCACTGAGGAGCTGTTTCGTAGTACAGAAGAATGCCATTTGTAAATATTCTTACTGTTCAACACAGCTGACTAAATCAACTGCAATCAAAACATCAAATTCATATTTTTACTTATATTTTAAAAACCAAGAAAAAATATCGCTAGACTTTTAAAATTTTTACTGAAGTACACCTAATCTATTAAAAACCATACATCTTAAATTATTGTAGAACTCAGTTTCCACAAACTGACATTTTAATGGTGGTTTCTTAATTTAATGACCACTGCCCCAGAAGTCCCACTTGTGCCCCTTCTAGTCACAACACTTCCTTTTACTCCTTCCTCCATAGGGTAGCCAGTACCCTGGCTTCTAACAGCATACAATAGCTTTGGCTGATTTTGTGTTATACAAATATAATCATCCAGAATGTGTGTTTTGACGTCTGGCTTCTTTTAGTCAAGATTATGTTTGTTAGACATTCGTTCTATGCATGTAGTTACAAATTATTTATTTTCATTACTGTGTAGTATTTTGTTGTTTATGTATACCACTGCTTTTCTATCCTTATTAGAATTGGTCTTTTAAAACAGCTTGACATCTGCCTTGGCTGGTGTTGGTTGGAGCGTTGTCCCATACACCAAAAGGTTGCAGGTTCAGTCCCCAGTCAAGGTGTAATACCTAGGTTGTGGGTTCAATCCCTGGTTGGGGTGCTTATGGGAGGCAACTGATCAATGTTGTTTTCTCACATCATTGTTTCTCTCTGTCTCTCTCTAAAAATCAATAACATACCCTTGGGTGAGTATTAAAAAAAACAAAAAACAACTTGATATCTTAGAGAAATAGGTAAACCACTACCATGATTCTAAAACAGAATTGTTATTTTTCCTCCCTAGGCATAAAGCACGAATGTCAAGCAAATGGGCCAGAAGACCTCAATCGGGCTTGTATTGCTGAAAAGCTAGGCGGATCCTTAATTGTAGCTTTTGAAGGATGCCCTGTGTAGATCATCGTTCAGTGCCACAAATCAAAAGCTTCCATGTTTAATGTTATCCTCTTGCTATATAAGTAAAGCAAATATATTTAGGCCAGGGTCTCACTGAGGGGGAGCTATCTTGTCATTTGTTAGAATAAATTAAATATTCTATAAACATTTGCAAACAGCCCTAAATAAATTTAAAATATAAAGTTTTATTGCTGTGAAATTAAATCCTTATTGGCCAAATGCCTGTTTTAATGAGCTGGCTTGTGAAGATTTTTGCTGAGCTCATGATTTTTAGTAATGCAGTTCACAAAACAGTACAAGGTCATATGAAGAGAATTACTGTGTCTCTGTTAACCTCAGCAATCACTTTGTTTCTTTAAAGAATTGGTCATAATCTGGTTATAATTTTTGCTCAAATTTTCTATTCTCTTGCGCTTAACTGAGTAACAGAAGATAATTCTCACAACATGTATTTAATAACACTAATTAACTACAGTAAGATTAAATCAGGCAGTCTTTTAATTCTACCACATGTGTAATGAAGACTGTCTCAGAATTGTGTATGCTTATAATCAGCACAGATTTTGCAAAGCACTGTTTCAAACACATAGTTGGAGTACAGGAAGCAATTCCTCGCACCTGTGGTAAGCTCTCCACCTTAGTCCAGAGACTCTTCTGAGAGTGACCTTGCATCTTTACAATCATGATGTGTTCTCAGAATGTGCAGTATCTTGTAACCAATTATAATGCAAATTAGGGCTCCATTGTACTACACTTTGTTAATGAAAATAAAACAGTATATTGAAAAGCTGGGACACTTGTGATAGCTTTAATTGTGTCTTCTTCAGAACTTTGTTGCTTCTGGCACAATTAAGGTGTAGAAGAACATTAGGTCTATGTTTACTTTGGGGCCTAGGAGAGCTTCTTATTATCCAAGAGCAATTTCTTAGTTATAAGTAAAATGGGGAGCAGGTACAACAAATGAAGACGCCCACAGAAAGCCGCTACCAGATGACACTTGGAAGTGATTGTCTTTAACATCACAGGCATAACACTTTGAACAATATAGAGATGCACAAACAGTTGAACTTAGAAGTAGCTGTACTGGCTTTATGTAATAAAGGAAGCATTTTTAACTTATCTCTTGTGTAATTATTCACGTGTGAATTGGGGATAAAGGACTTTTTCATATACGGGGCAAGTCTTTGGAGGTTTGGGTATTTCAGACAAGTCAAGTCACAGCTCCCTCCTCATAGTGAATGAAAAAGTTGGTTTAAAAGTTGGGAATCTTTTCTTACTCCAGATGTTTTTCTAAATACCAGGCTTCTATCCTCCCTATTTGGGAGACGCGCCTCCCCCCCCCAAAAAAAAGACTTTAACCAAAATATTTCTTTAAAATTGTCTAGAAAATAGTGCTGGTTACTGGTTTACTGATAAGCTGATTGTCATTCTTTCATCCCACATTTCTTTTGCAGTTTGCAGTGCATTTAGTTAATTGTGTATATTAACAGGTCTCTGAGGATTGCAGGCCTAAGGCTGCCTTTCTCAAGAATCAGCCATGTAGGTAGTGCCAGGTATTTGGTCAAGTTTTAGAAGAAGAAAGCCTTTTCTGTGGTTTTAGCTTGTGATGTGGTATGACTTAGTTCAACCACCACTTCTTGCAGGTGCACATCCATTGGAGGATGAAGGGGTATGGAATGCATGCTATGGGAAGGATTTTAAGCAGTGTACAGATGTGTCATATAATGTAAACATCTAACACTTTACTCTTATTCCAGAAATTGGAAATTGTTACTTATATCTCTACCTAGGCCAACTTTTGAGAAAGAATCCTATTGAATTCCTGAGGGTGGGGCCCAAGAATCGTGCAAAATTAAGAGTTTGGGACCTCAGCTGACATTGGTGAGAAAACTGCAGATATACACTACTCTTCAGCGAACACATTACATTTTTACCTGTGTTAACACATTACAAAAATGTGTTCATGGAAAGCTGACTTAGAGTTATCTAGTGAGTATTCTTTTGCCCTAAGACAGCAGCAGATAAAACCACTGCTAATAGAAATTCAGAACGTGACTATGAAGCTTGTTATTTCAGAGAACATTAATCTGAGAAAACAGTGAACACAATGACTTGAATAATACTGTAGAATTAAGCATAGTTGAGTGGCTTCCTTTTTGCAAAACTACCCAGAGTGCTGGCTGGTCAACAAACAGGAAGTACAGCTTCTGTTTGGTGTGTTTTTTGAGACTGGGTATGCCCAAGGACACATCACTCTCAAGATTTGGGGCATTTCTGAAATGTAAGTCTCCAGACATAACTCCAGTAAGAAGGGTCATTAATTTCAGTTGTGGGTGGGAACAGGGGAAGTTCCAGGAGCCAGGTTCTCCAGTGGAAGGTTGTAACTTGAGCTGTGTTTGACTGGCCAGGGGTCTCCTGGTTCTGCCCATTCCCAGGAGGGTAGCAGAAAGGGGGCTTTCCCAGCCTGTAGCTAGGGCCCTCAGTAGCCAGCCTTGAGAAGTAACTTGCCTAAGGTCACACAACTCATGAGCAGCAGAACCAGGAAAACTTGGGTCTCTTGTTTTCTGGTCCTAAGCGCTTCCCCTTATATCCCTGGAGAGTTCATTTCTAACACCTGGAATTCTAAAGTTAGATCTTAAGTGGGCTTTGAATCCTGTTAGACCCAAACCTAAAGGAGGCTCAGGGAGAAGGCATTTGTGGAGGGTTTCTAAAATCTTCAGAACTCTCCCAGCTCTGAAGCTGGTGGTCTAAGACTGATTTTTTCAACCAGTGTGCCACAAGAATTTTTAAAACATGAAATGCGTGACTAGTCAGGGGTACTGACGTCTTTACATTAGGTTCTAAAAAAAAAATAACAGCCAAAAGAATAGCTGTCCCATATGAATGAATCAAAATTATACCTACTTTGTCAGATTGGCAAAAAAATGTATTTTTTGGTGTGCTGCAGAATTTTAGTAATTATGTGTGCCATGAGATGAAAAAGGTTGAAAATCGCTTGTCTAAGGTGAGCAGTAGCACTGTACCAAGGCTGTGGCCTCTGAAGCCAGGTCTTGGGAGAACAGTGCTTCCTGTTAGCAGGCCAGCCAGTGCCTTTGGCTTGACAGATGCTGCAACCCAGCCTGGGTGATTCCTGCCTCCACACAACTTCATTCCAAGTGATTACAAAAGCCAGCACTCCAGTGGCCAGGCCAGTGAGCCAGGCTCGGGTGTCTGTCCCATATTGTGGGACCTCAGGGGCGCCTGTTGGCTTCTTTTGCTTCAATCTGCAAACGGCAGCTGCCCCTCCCACTTTGGTGAAGGGCTCTTTCCTCCTCTTCCAGCCTGACGATCAAGCCTTGCCCAGGAAACAACCCTAGTGTCAAGGCCAGGCTGAGGCTCCCTGGCAAACTCGGGCTCCCTCTGCTGGCCTGGGAGATGCCACTGCTGGGCCTCAGGGCTGCTCAGTCCTTCCCTCAGAGCTTGGCTCCTGGGGGCCTCAGAGGTACACCTTCCAGAGCCCACAGGGCCCTATGTCCTACACTCTTACCTCCTCCCCACAGGTAGACACTGGACCCCCACCAGTGACCTGTTGTAGGTCTGAGGGAATAGGGCTGTAACCAAAACCCAGATACCAGCCTTGTCCTGTAGAACCTAAAGGCAGAAATTCAGTACCCACAGGGTCTCTTGTGTATCTCCCTGAGGTGCTCCCATCCCTGTGCCTTTGAAGGGCAAATGCCCAGCGTAGGAGCTCTCAATTCTGTAGTCAGTGAGTTAGGGGAGATTCCTACATCCAAGAAGGAAACTCACTAAGGCCCAACCCCTGACTACATAAGGCCACTGAGTGTGGGAGGACAAATTGTGCTCTACAGGGCCAGCCCTCCAGCACTAAGCCCCTGCGCCTGAGGCACAGGGCACACAGGAGGTACAGTGAGGGGCCACTCTTTGTGGGATCTGAACACTCCAGATGACATTTTCCCTCCAAATCCCCTAGGCTGTTGGCTGCACAGCCAAGCATTAGATTAGACGGGTTTGTAACCTGCCTTTTACCTCCTGAGCTACTTTGTTTAACAAATGAGCTACCTCTTCATGGGGATTGTTTGCAAGATAGAAGGAAGGTTCACCTCCCATGGGAACTGAGATTCACGAGAGAACCAGGCAGAGGGCTGGGCACTGGCTGGCAGCAGGTTTAAACAGTTGCTTCCCGCTCAGCCTCCTGGCCAGGAACCATGATATCCCTGTCGTAAGTCCCAAGGGCTCCCTCTCCACTTCAGTCCCTCCAGTTACAGAGCAGGTATGACTGCTTTCCCTTGCTTAAAAACCTCAGTGGATCCTACTGCCTTACCTCTCCAGACCCTTTAATCCTCCACACTTGGCCTTAACTCTTCTCTTCCTGATAAACCACCTGTTCTGGTGAACTCCAGCAACAGCTTAAACTTACTTCTCTGGGGAGCCTTCGCCGAATTTCTAGCACCCCGATCCCAATACGATAGCAACATCCAAGTGCCACACAGTGTGGCAAGGTGGTCCACAGATCTGGGACCAGGACTTGGTCATGCAGGTTGTCATTAGCATCGCCTGGCCCCCGGCAGATGTTCAAAGGCAGGGGTGAGGGAGGGGCAGTGGCTGAAGGCACATAAAGGATACACATGCACAATGTTTCCCAAGGACTGGAGGTTCTTGTGACAACCGTGCAGAGAGGAGTTAAACCCACCACCTAAAAGGCCACATGTGATACAGAGAGGTGCCAAAGCAGGCGGTGTAGACTGTAGCTCTTGGGCTGCCTTTCCCTGGGAGCCCACCATTCCCTCCAGCTGGCCAGACCTGCTATTAAAGTGCTCCGTCTTCTCCCAACCAAGTTCAGCTTATCATACCCTCCCCCGTCCCCTTATTTCCCAGGATTCTGAGGCTTGGGAGATGGAAGTGGGATAGTGCTTCGTCCAGGCAGCCCCTTGACAGAACTGGTTGATGTCTGTCCCCAAGAACCCAGGCCGCTGAGATTCATCTTCCATTGCTGGGGTATTTTAACCCCTCCTGTGACTCGGCCTCTAAATCCATTTTTTGCTTAAGTTCCAGGATCCTATTTCTTACAATGTCCCCAATAACACTTCTTGGCCCAATATCCTGGATCACAGTCTTGGGCCACCAAGGACAAAGTGGGTCTTGAGGATCACAAGAAGTATCAGCTGGCTGTTCCAGCCCTTGGTCTGCCTCTCCTGAAGTGAGGATGTTTCTCTGAGCCCCAGCCAGAAGGAAAAAAGACCCTCTTTATTCACTCATGGAGCTCATTTCACACAGTAGCCTAGACCACTGCTCAGGTAAACCCCCAATCCCCAAGGGTGGGGACCACAATCGGTGCATTTGGCCGCCAGGCATCCCAGGCCCTGCTCATCCCACCTGGTGGGCACTGGGGCCCCATGGGTAAGAGTGCTGGGGACCAGGAAGCAACACATTTCACCCTCATTTTAGGCAGAGCTGCTGATCCCGACTTCAGAGAAACCAAGAGCCACACTTGCTCTGTCCTGAGGGATCCAGCCACTCATTCCTCATCCCAGGTTCAGCAGCCAGTGGGGAAGCCCCAGCAGAAGAGCAAACGAGATGGCAGTGCCAGGCGACAATGGTGGTTTTAATGGCATTAACATCCAGGTCACACACAAGTTCTGGTTGGCAGGGGTGAGGGGCTGTGGCCTTGCTGGGCTGGGCCCCTCCAGTCTGTGCCACAGCCTTTGAGACTCACCACCTGGTCCGCTCGCCACCCACCGCCCGCCTCCCGACCCACTGAAAGACAAAACAATTGCACTGATCGACATA